GCAGTTGGAGATTATAACTCTTACCATTTGGGATCCATGATGCAATGACACAAGCGCTAACACATTCATCTTGAATCTAAAGATATCATGAACTATCTTCTCAAATCATGTTCGTCATCCATTTTGTTACATAAATATTTTTCTCTCAGCATTTTCTATGATAGCCCTCTGTTTTGATAATGTAAGGCACCTACTGCTAAGATCTCAATACCTTCCAAAATGTAGATGAGGAATAAAAATAAAACTCACTCATGAATCTCTCACAACCTAAAGGAAGTTGGATTCCATGTCAAAAATATCTCAGCATAATGAAAGAGTTGGGACAGACCCCAACAACATCAAATTACTGGACATATTTCACCAATGAAATCAACATGAAAAAATCAATTGATCAATTTCAGTACGCCCTCAAATTTTGACAATTGACATCTGAAGCAATCAATTCTGATCACCTAATTTGTTACCTAAAAACTATGACAAGACTAAGGCTCTTCATTACCACCCAACTCAGAAAGTGCACTAAAGTTATTAGGAATGTAAAACATATGCAAGCATAACACTTAAGGTAATGTCAAATACCAAGGTTCCTTTAAGGTCAGCCAATGATGCCTCTAAGCGCTTATGGCAATCAGGAATCATCATCCTTCATTCAGCTAGCACATTTTCCTGTACAACCACATAAACGAAAGGCCTCAATTACTTTAAAAGATTTTAAAAGAAAAGGGTCAAATATATTACATACATCACTGTCACCTTAAAAATACAAAATTTTTTAGATTCTCTGACTTGGATTGTGAATAATGTGTTGCAAAAGAATCACATTAAAGCAGTGACTTGGAAACTGTTCAAAGAAAATCTAGCATCACTCACAACTTCCAAATTATAAGAAACTTCATATCCACCTTCTTTACTTCACAATTTGACTAAGTGAAAAACAAACCTCTATAAACACCATGCCCAAAACTTAAGCCCATGCAGCATGCCTGTAGTTTTTTTATTTTGCTGGTACTTTTCATAAATAAGGGATTCAATTCACATACACAAGGGATTAAAGTGCTTGCAGGTACCATGCCACATTATGTGTTCTTAATCTAAAGCATTGATCTGTTTCAGAAGACAAAATCTTCATCTCTAGAAATATTTACTTTCAAAATGATCTCTTATATGGGTAGCATGTATGATTTCTGATTTCTCATGATCTCACTCATGATAAATCGATAATAATTATAGCATGACCATGACAATCAAATTTCACATGCAGGTTTCACAATCATTTTCTTCCATCATCTTTCAATTACTTCATGTGAGACACTTGATGCTTTTTTCATAATCCCAATTTAACAAAACAGTGTAGATCAATATGGTTATAAAGTGCATGACAAAACCAAAATGTCTGATGAGGACCCAAAAGGGTTCAGAAAAAATGAACAGGCAATTGCTAGAGCTACCACTGGCAAACTTGCCACTTTTGAATACTCCTTTCAGTAATATTTTTCTATTGACTAGAAAAATAGCTAACTACTTTTGTTTGAATAATCTTCCTTTTTCTATCATGTTCTTGAAATTCTCAAAAATTTATTGGCCAAATCACTTGAAAACCATTACAAATAAACAACCTAACCATTTCTGCCAAAGCCAAAAAATTTCCAACTCAAGAAGTGCCCACTGTTCTTATGAAAGACTTGCACAGATATTTTGAGCTTTTACACCTTCAAGAAAACAAACCATCAGAAGAGGATGTGCTATTTATCAATGGGCCTTTAATGTGATTATGATTCTAACAGATCCACCCAAATAGCTGTCATTCTCCATAGATGTTT